TTAGCATTCCATATAAACAAAAATGAAACCTTTGATGAAAAATTCTCTCCTAAATATAAAATGTAGATGAACTTCTTTCAAATTGGATGATGTCATTTTTACATGCCAAAAAGAAACTAATGCAACTAAACTAAAAAAGACAATCATTAAATTTTACAGAAAATAAAGGAAAATATCAAGACAGAAAGTCCAGGAATTGAAAAAATTCTACAGTTATCATCTAAAGATGTATATGTTTGGATTCATTTTAAATTCATAAGCAAATGATATGCTGCCATTCAATCTTTCAAACTTAAAAAAAAATACTTTCATTTCTTTTGAATGAAGATCTAGAGGAGTCTTCCCCATGCAGATCTATTTATGAATGGGTTTTTCCCCTTGACCTTAGTTCAAAACTTATATTATTCCAACCAGTCTTTATCTATGCAGTGATAATAAAAATTTTTACAGAATTCTTAGGTATTACATAGTAAAAGTCTTTAAACATCCTTGTTGTGCATTTGATTTACATTTCCAATTCTTTCCAAAGAATATGCCATGTCACCCAATATAACAGATATAAAGTCTCTAGGTTATAACAAAATGTTAAAGTTTCAACATTACAAAGCTCATATTAGTAATCTTACCAACTGACTTTTACCCAGAAGAAAAATGATCTTAAAATCTATAGAAAATCTCCGATTCATTCTTAACTTATGATGTGAAGTTTGTAGGTTACAAATTATTTTCAGGGTTAGGGTTAGGGTTAGGGTTAGGGTCGATTTCAACTGGCGTCGGAATTTCATAAATATTATGGATTCTGTTGAAAATTACGCCAGACGATGGGCTAGATATGAAAAAGAAGACATTGACACCTTGTCAGAATGGATTAAATGTATCAGATCCATGTTAAAGTCACGTATTAAAAGATTGAGGGGCAAAATGAAAACCATCTATCCTTCTGTGTTCAATAAACCAGAAGTGAAAAAAGAATTAGATAGATTACACGATCAGTACGTACTGGTTCCTGCCGACAAAGCAGGTAACAACATTGTCTTCGTTTGTAAGGCTCATTATATAAATTGCATTCTAGAAGAACTTGGATTTAATTCTACAAGTGGTAATCCTACTTATACATATACTTCTCTTTCTAAGGAAGAAATTCTTCAAAATCACCTGTCAGTTTTGAATACTTTTAATATTCCACAGAGCCAAAATGAATTTGAACTACCTTATATATATTGGATTCCGAAACTTCATAAGAATCCTTACAAACAAAGATACATTGCAGGTTCCAGTAAATGTTCAACCAAGCCTCTTTCGTTACTTCTCACTAAAATATTGACAGTAGTGAAGGAAAAACTTCAAGAGTACTGTACAACTATATATTCAAGAAGTGGTGTAAATCAGATGTGGATACTTAAAAATTCTAAAGAACTTTTGGACAATTTGAAATCACAAGACTTTACAAAAATCAACAGCATAAAAACTTACGACTTTTCAACTTTATACACAACAATTCCCCACGACAAATTAAAATCCAGGCTTTTTGGTATCATTGACAGCTGCTTCTTCAACAAAAATGGAACTCGTAAGTTTACTTACCTCGTCATTGGTCATTTGAAAAATTATTTTGTTAAAACAGATTCTGATTGCACACATAAGTACTCTGAAGTTGACATCAAGAAGATGCTTGAGTTTCTGATTGACAATATCTATGTGGTTTTTGGAGACCAGGTATTCCAACAATCTATTGGAATTCCCATGGGTACAAATTGCGCTCCGTTATTAGCAGACTTATTTTTATATTCATATGAAGCAGAATTTATGCAAAATCTTTTGCGTGAAAAGAAGAAAACACTTGCTGTGGCCTTCAACTCGACATTTAGATATATCGACGACGTATTGTCAATTAATAATGATAATTTCCATTCCTACGTCGACACGATATATCCTGGTGAGCTTGAGATAAAAGATACCACAGAGTCCGACACTTCTGCTTCATACTTGGATATTTTACTAGAAAAAGACACTAATGGTAATCTAACAACCAAGCTATATGATAAACGTGATGACTTTAACTTTTCTATCGTCAACTTCCCTTACTTATGCAGCAATATACCTTCATCACCTGCATACGGAGTATTTATATCTCAGTTGATTCGATACGCAAGAGCATGCTCTACGTATGAACAATTTCTTAAACGAGGTAAATTATTGACAAGCAAGTTGATGAAACAAGAATATCAACAGTCTCGTTTAAAGTCATCATTTCGTAAATTCTATGGTCGATACAATGACCTTGTCAGCAAATACAATTTATCATTGAATGAAATGCTGACTGACGTTTTTCATACCAATTGTTAGTCCATTATTTATACACTGAATTGACCACGGATTTCTTCCGTTATTTCCTGATTATGACAACGAGCACACGGCGGGTGTGACCGGTCGGCAGGGGATGCTCACTCCTCCATGGCACCTGATCCCACCTCTGATGTTTCGGAGGTCCGTGTTTGCTCTGCTCTTATTTTGTATATTTGTTTAATGGACGTTGAGATTGAATACTGTTCGTTATTTCCATATCCTTCTTTCAAAAGTAGTTATCTCAATAATCGCATGCTTTGACCTTGACAAATGTGTCCTTTAAAACTATGTGTATTACTATAAGCTGTTATGTGTAGTAAGCATGAAGTATATGAGATGATAAAAATATTCAAGATATTGCATCACAGATTACTGGGTAACTGCATCTTGAAGTGGGATACTAAGGGACCTTTATCATATTTCAAGTTTTAAATTTAAAAATAGGGTACAATACACATACATATATACACAAATACAATATATTTACAATTCCAGGAAAGTAATAATTACATTAAATCTAGCATCTGAATATCTGTGTAATTTCTAGGGGGATATAGAAATAAGATGCAAAATAAAAGGTTTAAATGTATACTTCTCATACATAACAACTGTCTTCAATATGAATTGGCAAAAAATAAAAGTCACATTTAAATACTCTGAAGTCCGTGAGAATTAATTTTTAAAGAGCCCATGCTATCAGAAAATCATATTTTCTATACTTATTACAAAATGTTGAAGTTATTGCAAGACTCATATCAGTTATCTCAGTGACTGGTTTTTATTCAGGAGAAACATGATCCAAGATTTCTTAAGAAATCTCTTATTCATCCTATTCATTCTTCATTTATGTACTTATGATGTGAAAGTTGTAAGTTACAAATTATTGTCAAAGTAGTCTTCTCAATAATCTCATGCTTTAACCTTGATAAAGTGTCCCAAACAACAAAGTGTATTCCTCCAATCAGTCTTTATGTAGTAAGTATGAAGTATATGGGATGACAACAAATATTCAAGATATTATTGCATCACAGATTATGGGACACTTACATCTTTATGGGGGTCCTATTGAGACAAATTTTAAATTCAAAATTAAACATGATACATACACAAACAAAATATATTTACAATTCCAGGAAAGTTAAATAATACCATTAAATCCAGCATCTGGATATCTGTGTAATTTCTAGGGGGTTGTAAAAATTAGATGAAAAATAAAAGGTTTAAATGTGTAATTCCCATACATAACAACAGTCTTCAATATGAATTGGTAAAAATAAAAGTCACATTCAGATACTTTGAGGTCAGTGAGAAATAGTTTTTAAAGAGCTCATGCTATCAGAAAATCATATTTTCAATACTTGATTTGACTAGATCTCAGTTTGATAAATGATTACACTTTATCCATAGTCAGTGTCTGACAGTAAAACATACAATCCTGGGTCCTTTCTTTGTCATCCTGTATAAACCGCAGTCTATGATCGTACTGGTTAAATTCGATGGAAATCATATTTATGTTCTTCTTAAATCCTGCATCCTCTTAAGTTTGGTTTTCTTGTTTCAGTGTTCCAAGAGAGGATATTCTGTTGGTCTTTGCATAATCTGAGAGTCTTTCACCTTTCTAAGAGTAGACATAGATCATTTCCATAACCTCTCACTAGAGAATCCTGAAAAAATAAAAAAATAATGTCTTAGTTGAAAAAAAAAATGTAATGTAATATAAGCCTGATGGAATTCTACATATAGACAAAAAGGGTATAAAAACAAGTTGTAACATAAGATTTTGACTTTTCATATTAACCATGGGTAACACCTCTAGTAAAGAAAAGAGTAAAGGAATGAGTAAAATTCAGTTTGGAAAGAGAATTCTTTCAGAGAAAGATGTAGACAGAGGTATACCAGTTAAAATAAAAAAGATGGCACTATTGAGATCATTTCTCAAGAAGAATATAACCAATTATGTCCAGAAAAGGGTGATCCTAATGTTATCAGAGATTACATAGAAAGACCCTTGATTGCAGAAGAAGCCAATGAAGAATATAACCATTTATTACCAAAAGAGGGTGAGAATTACTTGGATTACCCTGAAAGACCTTTGACTAGAGAAGAAGTCAAGTTTATAGATGATAAGGGAAAACAGTTGTCAGAAAAAAAAAGATTGTTAAAGACACATGTTTTTTAGCCCACAAAACCATTGGAGATACAAGGATTACAAGATACAAGGATTAATGGAGGAAGTCCAAACTGAACTCTTGGAAGACATTAAGGCTCATTATGAGAGTAACTTTCCAGTGTTTGTTTATTACAAAATAATGTATTCTTATAAAAAAAAAGAAAAGAAAAGTTTTCACTTTCATTTGTTGTGCCTTTGACCATTTAAATTGACCTTATGGTCAAGATTGTGATATATACACTCTGATAATCATCTATGATGTCTCTATGATGTTTACCTCAAAAGATTGAATCAGGGTATTTGTGTTCAAAGAGCTGAAGAAACTATACAGACAGATCTAAGATGTTGGAAGCATACATATTAATGAGGTTAAAGGAGATATAACACTAGATTATTAAAAAGAAAGAACACAAACTCATAGAAATGATATTGAAAGTGCCTTTTATGAATAAAGTGTCATGCTCCAAGGTATTATTTTTATAAAAAGGAGAAGGATTACAGCAGTCCCATACACTCATAAGAAGATCTTGGGTAGTAGAAACACCAGGAAATTTTATTTCCACACAATCAGATCATCTTACATCAGTTATAAGGTTACAATCTTTATACATAGTCAAGAGGGTCATTAAGATTTCTTTTCTGGTCATCCTAATGAGCCACATTATAGTATTCTTTCTCTTTGATAGAATGTTAATATTAAATGGAAAATTCAGAATTCATCAGCAATTGAAGTCAAAACTTCCTATCTTCACCAATTATGCTATTAAGGAAGCTGGGGGTTAACAAATTAGCCATATTTAACTTATTCTATAAATATGCTATCTTCAGCTGTTAACTATCATTTGGCAAAGAAAAATTTCATACATTTTAGTTTTAAAAATTTGATCATGAATTTTTATGCCTTTTCTTCTTCTTCTAAAGGATATCAATAGAGTTTAAACATGACCATGACCACCAAGCCCTCTTTATTTAAAAAAAAAATCATATATCATTTACTTATCAATTCAAAAATATAAAAATGCATATGTAAATAAATAAATAAATAAATAAATAAATAAATAGATAAATAAAAATTACAATTGTATCTCATTGAAACTTTACCTTCAAGTTTGATTGTTTCTATGTTGGTTGACTAACTATGTATTTCCAAAGGAATTTGGGCAGACAGGCTGAACTTCATAGAGAATGGATTATAGATGGTTAGGAATAAAACATATCTTCCAGGTTGAGGACTGTATAGAAAATATAATCATTTTGTTAATATGACAAGGAACTGCATGAAACATTGCATGTTTAAATACAACATGTACAATACCAAAAAAGATCATGAAAATATTTGTTTTTAATCTCAAAAAATTGTTTTTAACATGAACTCCAGATGAGAAAAGTTCATCATGTTATCTATAGATAATAAACAAGCACAACTACTGTATTAATATCATAAATAAAATGATTATCAGATTATTTATTTAGACGCTAAAAAACTTACTATCTTTATGATATTGATTTCCATTATCAGATGTTTTTTATCCATTTTTTTATCCATTTTAAAATAGAAACATTTAAATAAAACAGAATTAAATAAATTAAAATGATATCTCATTGAAACTTTACCTTCAAGTTTGATTGTTTCTATGTTGGTTGACTAACTATGTATTTCCAAAGGAATTTGGGCAGACAGGCTGAATTTCATAGAGAATGGATTATAGATGGTTAGGAATAAAACATATCTTCCAGGTTGAGGACTGTATAGAAAATATAATCATTTTGTTAATATGACAAGGAACTGCATGAAACATTGCATGTTTAAATACAGTGCTAAAAAGTTCATGAAAATAGTTCATCATGTTATCTTTAGATAACAAAAGAAGCACAGTTACTGTATTAATATCACAAATACAAAATGATTATCAGTGTAATTTTTAAACACTAACAGACTTTCTCTTAACAGCATATTCAATTTTGTTTAATACCTGTCAGTACAGCATACAAAAAGATATTAGCATATACAACATGTAGTCCTACATTTTTTGAAAAGCTCATTACTAAGAAACAAAAGTGAAAATGAAAATATATGTATGCTATATACCACATATCTAGAATCAAAAACAAGGATAAACCTTTTGTAGATTCTTACTTTTTCTTTTATTACATTCCTTATAGATCACAATTTAGTAAGTCTGAATTCCATGGGTAACAGACATAATGAATTATGACATTATATCATAATTTATGCAAAAGGACTTATTAACAATATGAAGTTTCCTTAGTATATTTTAGACAAAATAAGACTGTGCTTATATGAATGTTAGAGATATGAGATCACATAAGAATTACACAGTAATTAAATTAAACCATATAATCATGGTTAAATGCAAAGATGACCTTCGTAGGAAAAATGTAAACAAAACAAAGACAAACTTACCAGAATTATCCAATTATATGCCCAATTAAATAATCCAGTGAAACAACATCTTAGCTGATCCTGAAAAAAAGCATACAATATTCAGTGATACACAAATTAACCTCATTTTACAAAGGAAGTAAAGCAACAATTGACAGACAAACACGACAGAAATGTAAAAGATACCATATGTATTTTACCAAACTTTAGTAAACATTTTTTCTGATTTAAATTCAATCACAGAATGACCCATCGTAGTAATATTAAATACACTCTGGGTTACATGCAAATTATACCTTACATGAACTGAGAATAAATACCCCATTTACAATCATATAAACTGAATTTTACATAACTAATTACTCTTTTAACTGATGTCACCATTAGTATGTCAGAATATTCAGGGTGTAAAAATCATGCATATTCACTTTTAAAGTACTCAATATATATTTTACATGTTGATGTTTGAAATCACTGACTAAATAAAATACATACATGTATATACATGAAGGTTTAAAAAAAAGGGGGGGGGGCACACATGTTTATAGATTTACAGAGATGCTCAGACTGAGTTTTTCCCACTTTCATTGGGCCACTGTTGCACCAGAATGTAAAAATATGAGTGACAAATAAGGCAAAAGATTCTGTATATTTCATTAAAAAAGATTTGAGACAAAAGATTCATTGGCATAATATGATCTGATTGATTATCTCCATATCCTTCTTTTGGTCACTGTGATTAAAGATTCATAGAAATATTAGAAATAACAACTGAGAATATCACTTTAGTTGTTTTAAAAGCATGTATCTGTATTTTATAAGATATGCTAGGAGTCTCCTCATAAGAATATTTAGAATACTGATCCAATAAAAGGAATGTGAGACAATATGATCATAACTCATGCAAAAAAGATTTATCAACATTTTAAGGATCTTTTAGTGTCCTAGTGTATTTCAGGGTAAACAATGGCAGTGTTTATATGAATGTTCTAAACATAAGGTATATAACACAGTAATAATGAATAAATACAAAGATGACCTTCATAGAAAATGTATAAAGAAAAGTTTGTTAAAACTTACCATGTAACCAGGTAACTCAGTAGAGTAATATTCATTAAATAATCCAGTGAAATAACATCTAGGCTGATCCAGGATTCAGCTGTTTAGAACTTTCTTGGAAGAAAAACGGTAGAAAATCAGTTTTGGTACTGAAATCCATAGGACCATACTGTTATTACATGAAGTCTCAAGCGCTGTGAAAGTCTGTGTTATTGTGTCAAAATAAGCAGTCATCGCGGCTTGTGAAGGACTAACATGACGTCGCTGCCAAGTTTATGACGTCACAATGCATAGGTAAGTCTATGGTATGTTTTGCACACGGCCCCCTTACAGATGATGCAACAGGTATAAAAACGCAGGTAAAACGTATTGATGCACAGGGCCCTTACAGTAAAGGTATATAAACCATGTGTGTTTTTTGTAATTGTTTTCAGTAAAAAATCCAGGTTTTTATTGTTTTGAGGAAATCAGTTTGAACCGATTAGGCTAGGCTGGGTAGACTGTGAAGCGTGACGTTATAATTAAATTCTTGAGTCGCTGACAAAATCGTAGTAGCAGCGTATAGTATATAATGTAAACACAGTGTAAACACCCCCGTATTTAGGGGGCTATATGTACTGAATTGACCCGGCTATCCCCCACAGACCCCTAATCTGCACTCCCTTGACCCACCTATCTCCCAGGGGCTGCACTCCATTGACCCGGCTATCCCCCCAGGGGCTGCACTCCCTTGACCCGGCTATCCCCCAGACCCCCAATCTGCACTCCCTTGACCCAGCTATCCCCCCAGACCCCCCAATCTGCACTCCCTTGACCCGCCTATCCCCTAGCCAATCAGAATCCAGCATTTTTGACCTCATTTGCATAAAAAGTGCACTCAGTTGAACCCCCCATCCAGACGCCTTATACTACTATTCTGTTTGAGTGTAACACTATCGTTTTCGGGCGATATTTCAAGAGGAGTTTGGTTTGAGCTTTTGCAATGTAATTTTATAGCAAAAGTCCCTAGGACCTTTCTCACCCCTCTCAAATGGTCCCGCCCCGTTTGTTTTATTAGTTTTTATTGTATTACATGTCGCTATTTTTAGCACAGGGGCATGAAGGAGAGTTATGATGTATTAAACAGGTTCTCGGCGGACTTTATATTCTTATTACATCTATTAGAACTGTTTAATAAAGGTTAAATTAGACACCATGCATTGTGTAAAATTTTGACAATATTGAACGTGAATATATACATGTATGTGACTTCATCTTTGCATATAATTTTCGTCAATGTACAGCAGTTCCGTGGTGTAGTGGTATGTCTCTCACTTCACATGTGAGAGGTCCCGGGTTCGATTCCAGGTCGATCCATTTTATTTTTTTTTTTACTAAATGATAGCATTCAGCATGTGAAATGAAAAATTCATGAGGTCTAGCTTGTACAAACTCATCATTACAGTGTGATAAATATTCCATATAAAAAGAATCTTCTATACACATAATTAAGAATAAGCAATCAAATCTTTATATCCATATTGACATATTTTATATGCTTTAGTATACATGTATATATCAAATAATTCTACAAATTCAGTCAGGGTGATCCGCCTCCCCCCCCCCCCCCCTTCCCCCGAACTGCGCATGGTTTACTTTTTCCCTAAGCGGGGGACACAAATTCTCTGAATTAGCTTGTTTTGTAGAGTATAAATACCAGGGCAGATCACTCTAAATGCAGAAAAATAGCAAAGAATCAGAACACTTCAGTGCGCAGTGTACAGAGGGTTCTTAAGAATTTTACATCAGCTCTGACATTATTTTTAGATCTACCCCTGTATTTTCACATGCTTCACTTTATTTGTTGGAACGAAACACAGATGCCTACAAGTACACAGTAAGATTTTTTTAAATAAGGAAAAAATATACAAGGCAGCCTATAGGGCCTATATGTACATGTATGACAGGACTTGTGTTAGAGAACTGATATACCGGTAGCCTACCTTGTTACGGTGGCAAATGAACACCCCATATCACTGCTTTGTTTAGATCATACTGTATATCTAGTCCTTTCAATGGCCAAGATTTTGTTGCATAATAATATAACTAATAATTACATTTTTTAGATACAACTGTTTGATAGTTTTGTAATGTTTTATGTATAAAAATGTTTTTTGATTTATTGTCATTTATTGAAGGAGTGTTGGATTTTTTGTACCTGTACCTGTCACAGGTAATGTTTTTGTGACTTTTTATATGCTATTATGTATTGTGCACTTCTTATGACTTTTATTCTTTATATGGGAGTTGATTATTTTTTTTATATGAAATTTGGGCAGGCAGGCATAAAAATAGCCATCGGTGGGCAAGGAAAAAATTTCCTTAGATATTTTAGGCTGAAATTCACAATTCAAATCAGCTATACGTAACAGTTAAAGATATAGTTTCTCCGTGCGTCTGTTTTTCGTTCCGTCAAAATTACCCAGATGTCTAAAATGAACTTTTCTAACTTGTTTTTCAAAACGTCAACTTGTTTCTAAGTTTTTATCAGATATAAAACCTTGTGGTCATTAAGGTTTATCAAAAATCAACTTTAGATAAAAATCTTTTCTCCCCTGGTGTTTCCAGATACCCGTGTTTTCCCCAAATGCTAATATTAATAAAAAATATTTAGGATTTTCGTAACCCAAATAAACACAAAACTTTTACAGATTACAAAATCTAAACTACATTACATTATGTTTTATAACACTGCAGTCTCTAATGCCTTTACAAGAGGCCAATGGGCTACAACGCTCACCTGAGTAACTTTTGCCCTTCTGTTCATTACCAGATTTTCCCCATTACCTATTGTTGCCCCAACCTAACCCCCACCCCGGATGGTCATGGTTTGAACAATTTAGAATCCACTTTACCGCAGGATGCTACCACATACATATTAGTTTTTCTGGCTTATTGGTTCTTATGAAATATTTTCCTATATATTTCAATGTAAAATTTAAGATTCAAATATTGTGGTCCCACCCACCCCTGGGGTCATAATTTGAATAATTTAGAATTTACACTTCCCCAGAGTGCTTCCAAATAAGTTTAATCTTTTCTGGCCCAATGTACCTTGAGTGGAAGATTTTTTTTTTGGATATATTTCAATGTAAAACTTTGATTTCCAATTATGACCCCCAGGGTTCATATGTTTTACTATTTTGGCCTAGTGATACTTCAGGAAAAGATATAAAAACATTTCCCCCTATATATTGAAATGTAAAACTTGGATTCTCAATTGCGGCCTCTACTATCCACACTGGTTAAGATTTGGGCAATTTAGAATCTACTCTACCCGAGGATGCTTCTGCATATTTTTCAGCTTTTCCTGCCCTGTGGTTCTTTAGAAAGAAATTAAAAGATTTTTTCCTACATATGAATTGTAAACTTTGATTCCCTGTTGTGACATTATCCTACCCCCGGGGGTTATGATTTGAACAATTTAGCATCTACACTAGCCAAGGATGCTTCCAGAAAAGTTTCATCTTTTTTGACCCAGTGGTTCTTTAGAAGAAAGTTTTTAAAGATTTTTTCTATATATTTCTATGTAATGCTTTGATTCCAAATTGTGGCTTCAGGGTCATGTTTTGAAAACTTTAGAATCTACGCCATCAACGAATATTTTGCATAGGTTTCCTGTAATCTCCCATTGTAAGGTCACTGGACCTCTCTATTAAACAATTCAAACTCCCCTTTACCCAGAAAATACATTTTAGTAGATTTGATTAAAATTGGCCCAGAAATTCTTGAGAAGCAGTTGAAAATGCGAAAAGTTTATAGACGGACGGACTGACGACGGACAACAGGTGATCAGAAATGCTCACTTGAGAATTCAGCTCAGATGTGCTGAAAATTACATAATACAATTTTTACAACATTGTTTTAAAAACTGACACAATTCAAGTCTATTTTGTACAACATTAATGTAGTATTGAAGCATTGACTAATTATAACTCTTGTCTGTACTACATTAATGTGGTAATATAAAAATGTCTGATTACAAATTCTTATTTTTACAACATTTAATGAATCACTCTCGTCTGCTCGGTATGCCAGGGAATAAACGATATTTGGAAACGCTGAGATTTTGTCTTTTGGAAAAAAAGTCCAGTATACATAAATATCCTTTTGCTTCCATCTGTCGTTATTAATACTGGCATTCCCAACAAACTTTCCTATTTACAAACGTGAACGTGATTCCTTATATTTACATTAATTTGTAAACAAGAGGTCCAAGGGCCTTCTCAGTTGCCTTAGTATAATACAATTTAGATGATCTATAGAAGTTTAAATTAAACTGTTGGATAAAGCTTTATTATCCCAAAACAAGAAAAAAAGGATGATGAGGATCAACGAAATAATGAGTCTAGATCTCAGTGACAGCATATAAAATAAATTCCTCTTGCCCCCATTTATCACTATCACCCTGCAGACTATTAACAAAACAATAGTTTTTCTATTGTTTCGAACTATCAGAACTATGCACTTAATTGAAGATCAATTTGATATGAAGTTGAGAACCCCCCATCCCCCAATGGAAAAAAAACAGACATGATTATTCAATTGAATGTTCGTTACATACTAACAAGGAGCTGAGAAGAATATTTCAAAGATTTGATGAATTCTTGCTGTATAATAAATAATGCCCCAATATGACACCAGAGTATCTGAGCCTGAGGCCAAGGATTTCACAATCTCGGAAGAAAACCATACTCAACATAACTAAAAATTCGTTAGTCTTTATAATAGAAAGCAGGAGAAAAGACGATGTTTGACGAAATAATGCACTTTCACTAAATAATCAATAGAGCCCCCCCCCCCCCCCTCTGCTAAATTCCTCTTCATGGGTCCACAAAATTCAAAATTTTAGAAGAGGCATCCTTGATCATTGTAGCTATGTTTTTGGATAGATTGATTTATTCAATGGGACAGAAAAGAAGGTTTTCAAAAAAAATAATGCATTTCCACTATACGATTAACAGCCCGGTCCTATAGTACCAGACCCTCTGTCCCTTGGACCTTGAAACTCAAAACTTTGGTAGAGGACTCAGTGTTTTTTTTTACAATCATGCCAACAGTTTGATTACTTCATACAAAAGGAGTAAAGGAGAGTTTTAAATATTGATTTTTGGTGGATTGGGTCCCACCTCAAAGGCTCCTTATGGAGTTCAAGAGGTCTTATCAATAGGATAGATTTGTTAAGGGGCATGGACACAATTTCAACTGAATTTTTTTTTTACTATATGTAATGTTTACAATTCCTATAATTAAAGCAGTTCTAATGATCAGCAAAATTTTTAACATCATAATATCAAGGAACATTCAATTTACATTTTTTCGGTCACTTATAGATGAAAAATTGATATAACAAACAGTATTCAGGGTTACGATTCATAAAAACAATACCGTTATGCCAAAAATTGTTAGATTTGGTGCATAAGTTCCAGGGAAGAAGGTGAATATGTCAAGTCGAGAAAAAAAACACGATTAAATAAGCCAATGTTTAAGTCTATAATATCACAATTAAGAATTCAAAGATATTATATGTAAGTATTTAACTATGGTACATGTGTATGTAACTATCTAAATAAAAATTACAAGATAGAATTCAATTGCATTTTAAAGGCCTTAACTCTTTTTACCTGATTTTCTCTGAAATTTAGATGTAGGGTCTTTAATAATTACCTTGTTTAAATAAAGATTTATTTTGAGTGAGTAGAAAATCATACAGAGATGCTAAAACTCTTGTTTGTAACAAAACTTGACTATCAACTTCATCATAAACACATCAGGATTTATGATATATTAACTCTAGTCTTTTCGTCTGATCATTATCTTAGTCTGTTTCAATGCTTCCAATCTTTTCCAGTGATTCCATATCGGGTATTTCCAGTCAGACAAGGCAGACTGTGCATACAGTCCGTTCAGGTTTGTCGAGTGGCTGTCTTTGTACCACCAGCCTCCGTAAAATTGCATAGCACAGTTGCGTGTACTCAAGTCATTGTCCTGGTCCTTGGTACTAAATTTCACTCCATTGTGATAAGCCAAACTGTCACCTATATATATATATATACATATATTATAACAGTAACTTGATCCGAAGGGTCGTATCACGTCGAGTTGACAGGCACGGATCATCAGATCTAACGAGACGCGAAGCGTCGAGTTTGATCTGATGATCCGCGCCTGTCAACTCGACGTGATATGGCTCTTCGGATCAAGTTACTGTTATAATGATAAATTTATTATATACCTCCTTATAACTAGCAAAATATAGCAAAATAAAACTTTAGAAATCAAATATATAATATTAATCCATAAAACAAAGCATAATAACAAGGGACGTTTTAATGCGCAAGAAAAATAACGTCATGTTTCTGGATTACATTGTGATACATGTACGGTTTGGACGAGATTCGTTGATTTAAAATTAAAACATTATGGTAAAACATGACAATTTTTCAAAAAATGGGTCGACTACCAATAGACTGTTTTCCCAAGCAATGAATTGTTTCCATTTATTACTGATATTACATACCTATTGCGTTAGGGAAACATATTTTAGTCCTTAAATCACTAAAAACGAATACTTATTTCCCTCAACTGGACATCTAAAACCTTTAGAGCGGGAACATAGTCTGGTAGTCTGTGTTTTTTTTCTAAGGGAGGGCTTCAGAAAAATAGTTTGAAAACCCATCTGAAAACAACTTTTAGATCAGGCACGTAGTCTGGTAGTCTCTTTTTTTTAAAGGGGGGAGGGGGGGGCAGAAAATTTGTTTTAAAACTTAACTGAAAGCATCTTTAACGTACTAAAGCGAATAAGGCTCATTTTCATAAGTTGAAAAAAAATTTTTCGCGTAAGGACGCGAAACTTTCGAAAACAAACACGTACCTTTTGCGTTACAACGGAAAACTTTTGCGATTTAACGCGAAGTTTTCGCGTTTTAACGCGTAACTTTCGCGAAAAACCGCAAAACTCCGCGAATAAACGCGAAAATTTCCCGTTATAACGCGTAACAAACTCAACAATTTCGCGATATAACTTGCAACTGACGCGAATTGTTTATGTTAATTCGCAATAGTTTGCGCAAAATTATATGCATAGAGTTATGTTTTTCAGAAACCTTGATCTTCACTTAGAGATGAACATGACTCTACAGGAACTTTTATGAATTTATCTATAAAATATCATTTCCTCTGAAGATAGCGTGGTGAAATGATGCGAGAATAGGATAGATTAGTCATCAGTATTTTTTTTTTAATTTCAAAACCTTACCAATCAATAAAATGAATTTTACTTCCTCATATATGTTTTTTTCAGTTGTTGAATTCAAGAAGTTCTTTAGACTGATTATTTAATTCAAGGAAAATCTTCACATGACACTTTCTCAAGCTGTTTTTATCAGTAGCATTCACCAGAATTTTACCCATAGTAAATTAAGCCATCCGTAATTTTGGACTAAAATTATACCTTGTAGAAACAAAGCTTAAAAGTGAATGAACAATGTATCATTTTATGAGTTAACTTGCCAAATTATGCTTTTTAAGTATTTAAGGGGGATGCCCGGCCACCTTTAGTGATAAAGATACAATACATATGCATAATTGAATGCATATTATGCATATATAATCTATAGATTTTTAGAAAAATGCTTTTAACATGCTCCTTAGAACTGCGCGGTTACAGAATTCAGCATAGCCTTAAAAAATCCGAAAAAATATGCAAATTGTGCATTAATGTTTTCTCTTGTCACAATTGATGTCCGTATTTGATTTCCATATATTTTTATCTGATTACTATATTACCAATATTATTTGCCCAATATGTTTACCATACTTTTAAGCTTGTTTAGCAGGTTTTACCTGGCGATTTAAATCCCGTGAAATCAGATTGGGCGTAGCAACTGAACAGAGCAATCGAGTTTTAAGACAGCTCAAGTTTCCCCTGTTTTGTTCTTTGTTTCTATAATTTCATGACCAGAGGTCCACCTATTCTGGGTAAGTGTATTTTATTTATTATTGTAAGCTGTATGATTTATTGACGGTTTTAATTCCTGAAATGGCCACAGAACTTTGTTCTATAATTTCATTCGTAAGTTAGATTCAAAGTAGTATTTGCTCATGTAAAGTATATGTGTTATAAGTAAAAGTATAAGTGTATGAGTATATGTTTAATGTAGACGTGGTGTTGTATGTATAAAGTATGGAGTATAGTATTCGTCTTAAAGTGGTTGTCTACAAGTAATACACTTAGTTTATGTGTGAACGTATAAGTTCTATAAAGTAAAGTAGTATGAAGTGAAGTGAAGTGAAGTATAAGTACAGTGCAGTAAAATGCAACTATGTAATGTGTAATGCAGTAAAATGCACCTAAGTAAATGTACAGCAAAATGTACAAGTATGAGCAATTATATGTATAATTATATTATGTCTGTATCTAACTTTGTTTTATTTTATAGGCCCCATTTATTTAGGCCAGTTATCCTTTTATGCCATCCAGCAGGAAGCCATTGGGCCATGTAGAAACGCGTGTGTTTGTACATATTGTAAATAAAACTATATATAACAAAACTGTATTGAGTGATTTTGGGAAGCCGCCAGCCACCCTGCGACAAAATTGGTGTCAGAAGTGGGATTCCAATCCCAGGAATTCAGTCCCAGGATATCCAAGGATATCGACGTTAACACAGGACAAGTCAGGATACACAGTCAACCTGGAAACATATTTCAAATACAAGTGGTGTCTTCAGTTATGGAACCTCGCAGAGGAAATCTACATGTCACCGACATGATGTGCCTGATGTCCTAAAGCAAGACGACTTGAATTCATCCTACAGGAAGCTCGCTTAACTGTTTATTTCAATTAAAACATTTATTGTCAAACTGTAAGAAAAAGAAAACAACTACTGATAACATTTTACAATTCATACAAAAGACTTTGTTATAAAAGTAGTTAGAATAGTGAATTACTTGCCTTGAAATCTAGTGAATATTTCATACATGTTCTCTAATTGTATTCTGTATGTACATGAAGTTTGTAATTGTTCTCACTTTTGCAACTGTTATTGTAGGCAATGTTCCATGGTCATTTGGGGTCCAGAAGGTTTCTAGAAGTAGTGATGGGTGGACTTCCTCAGAGTACGTGGAGACTGGTCAGGGTAAAAGTAGTGTGGTAAATAAGTCAAAAGTATTCACAGTTGTGTCGCCCAATCTCAAACTTTCAAATTCAGTAGGAAGTAAAATTCCGAGTATAGTAGTGACATTAGTAGTACTTATACATGTAGTGCCACAGTATATAGAAAGTAGAAATCAAAGTACAGTAGAGTCGTTAGTAGTACATGTAGAAGTGCAGTATATAAGTGGTCACACAAAGGTGTTAGAAAGGTCTAGGTGTTATGTTAAAAAGGTCATGTCCGTAAAAATGGACTCGGTACAAGAGTTAATCGCTGCAGGCGAGAAGTTAGGTTATGAAAAAGAAGAGTTAAGAAATTATGTTACAGAACAACAGAAATTACAGCGTGAAGAGAGAGCAGCGGCTCGACAGAGAGAAAAAGAAGAACGAGAATATCAGCTAGAAATGGAACGCATGTATCATGAGATGAAGATGAAGCAGCTACAAGAGGAACACGAATTAGAACTAGCAAACAAAAGTGCACAAGGTAAGGTTAGTGATGTTATGGTAAAACCTAGTGTACCGAAAATTCCTCCTTTTGACGAAAACAAAGACGAGATTGACAGCTATTTGAGAAGGTTTGAGAGGTTTGCAACTGCCATGAATTGGGAGCAATCTTTATGGTCGACACACCTCAGTGCTTTATTGAAAGGGCGAGCTCTAGATGTATATGCTCTCATGTCAACGTCAAAAGTAAGTGATTACAATGAACTTAAAGCAGCTTTACTACGTAGGTACGAAATGACAGAGGACGGTTTTAAAAAGAAATTTCGTTCTTGTAGACCTGAAGTTGGGGAACATTTGCTCAGTTCTCTGTTAGACTTGCTTCTTACTTGACTCAGTGGGTCGAAATGTCCAAAATTACTTGTTCATTTGAGGCTCTTTTCGATCTTATGCTTAGAGATCAAATGTTACATGTGTGTAATTTTGAATTGGCTGTATTTCTCAAGCAGAATGTTCCAAAGACATTGGATCAGATGAGTATGTTAGCTGATCAGTTTAGGGAAGCTAGAAATACTAGTGCTATCAATTTGTGCTCAAAGGCAGTAAACAAACCAGAGGTAAGTAAGGTACCAGAAAAACCCAAGGATGCACGTCCGCATCAGCAACAGAAGCCAAGGTTTGTTCCAAACAATGAAAGAAAATGTTTTGTATGTAACAAATATGGTCACATTGCACCCCAGTGCAGATTTAAAAGTAAAAACTCAAGTGCAGCAGTGTGCAAGGACGAACGTGGGAAAGGTCAAACAAATGGTAGTGATGCAAATCCAAGTAACTGCGCAGCGCTGATTTACAGTCAAAACCCGTCTATTTATAGTCAGGTAAGTGACCATACAACCGTTTTAACATCAGCATGTCATTCTACAGCGAAACCAATGCCTCTTTCAGCTGGTTACGTTGAGGGTCATCCAGTTACTTTACTGAGAGATTCAGGATGTCGAAACATTGTAGTGCGCAAGAGTTTGGTAAAAGAGGAAAACTTTACAGGTAGACAAGAAACGTGTGTTTTGGCAGACAACACGAGAATAGTGGTCCCAGTGGCAAAGGTTGTCATTGATTCTCCATATGTATCAGGTGAGTATGAATGTTGGTGTATGGAAAATCCTGTCTTTGATCTGATTATAGGTGAAGTAAAGAATGCGAGGAAACCTCACGATCCGGATCCAGAATGGAAACCTAACACTATTACAGCGGTTGAAACAAGACAACAGGTAAAAGAAAAACAGAAAAAGTATAAACCTCATAAAGTTCCAGAAATCGTCAAAGACGAAATCAACCCAGATGACATAATGCGAGAACAGCAGTCAGATCCGTCACTCGAAACAGCACGCAGATATGCACAGGAAGGTCGTACTTCACGTGATGGTAAGGTCAAATGGTTTG